GACAGAGAACTGGAGGATTTTACCGCACAGAAATGGAATCAGACATGCTCTGGACTAGAAAAGACCAGGGATGACAATGAGTCAGGTGTGCATTGCTCTGAATGTCCCAGCTCTCTCATGATCCCAGCTGGGTTCCAGGAAGCCAGGTTTATATCCAGCCAGGAAACTGGAAAAGTAGCATCTGGAAAAACTACAGAACAAAATTCTATAATTTGAATTTCCTCCAGCAAACATCAGGTTCCTCCCAGAAGTTCCTCTGGCAAAGACCCTAGTCATCAAATAATAGGCATCAACCACATGTGCTGTTAAATGTGACCCACTACCCACAGATTGTCGGAAGAGTCAAAGCTGAGGTCAAATCAAATAACCATAAGCAGACTGAAGGGGAAAAGAACTTGGAGGAATCAGAGAACCCAGGAGGAAGAAATTTTTTAAAATAAATATTTAGAAAAGAGAAAGTATTCCACATACAAAAACATATGTTATTTTGGGAAAGAGAAGAGGATATTAGTTTTATAAAATTTATAAAGGTAATTAAATTTTTAGAAGTCAATAAAAAAGAAGATAAAGTTAATTGCCAAAAAGCTAGAATAGTTTCAAAAGACAAAAATTCAAAATAACAGGTAAAAACTAAACAATAAGATAATTGTATCAGTTCTAGAATTCAACATCAGAAGATCCAGAGCAAACAGAGGAATCATAGGGATGATTACAAAGAAAGAGTACAAAGACATTTCCTAGGAGTGAGGGTGAAATTCTCCAGATGAAAAAAAAGCTCATCTAGGGCCCAGCACAATGAATGTGTGGGAAAAAGCCTATCCTCAAGAAAGCACATGATTATGAAATTTTAAAACATGTGTCAAAAGTTTCCAGAGAAAAACAAACACAAGTCACAAGTAAATCATCAGAAATGGGAATGGTATCAGATCTTCCTAAACAGAAACTTGTAACAGAAGACAATGGTCCCATGCCTTCAAAATGACAAGAAAAAATGGTGTTTTAATGGGAATCCATAGTCACTTTATTAGTCAAGTGTTAATGAAGACATTCTCAAATGATAAAGGTCTCAAATTATATACCCTTTCTTGGGAAGCCTGAAGAAGTCATGTCACCAAACAAGGAAATGACCTAAGAAAGGGGAAGAGATGAGATCTAGGACACAGGTGAGTTCTGAGCAGATAATGAAGTGAGGTGATAGGATGACAGTCACAGATACTCAGAAGTCTGGAGAGAAACCAGGAAGGGTGGAAGAATCCAGGGTGGATGCCCTAGTAAAACATGGAACTGATAGATTACCTGCCGTGTCTGGGAAGAAAAGTTGGGAAATGAAGCGATAGAGACATAAAGTTAAAGCAAAGGAAAAATGAGGCAATCAGTCCCACCTCCCAACCCTTTGAGAAAATAATGAACAAGAAGTTGTTAAAGAAGGAAATACAATCATAGAAAATAGGTGACTTAGTTGTCAATTATATTTGCAGTCTTACCATTGTAAGCATGGAATATATATTTAATCAAATCTTGTAAGATAAATAAACTGAGGAAATGGAAGAATAGGTGTATCTCTGTGTGTTTGTGTATGTGTATGTTTGTATAAAAGGGCTAAATCCTAATCTTGAAATAAAATACCAGTGGATACTATCTAAAACTGGAAAAGTAAGAAACAGGAGTATAGCTGTGTAATTGAGAAATACAGGGGTAAACAGAAGAAGCCAGCGATGTGACTCTCCTCCTTGGACAGGAGGCAGTGAAACAGGGAATGATTCTTGTTCATTATAAGCCAAGGCCAAATGGTGCCCTCTGAATTATTAAACGATGCTCATGTTCTTTCTGTAAAAATATTGTTTGAAGACAGAAATGATCGCCACTTGTTCCAAGGGATTCTGCCAAAGTCTGTGCTTCTCACAGTGAGCCTATGGACCTGGGGCAAGAGTGGACGTGTTTTCGTTGGGAATAGCACATGGTCTCACCCCAGGTGAGGCAGAAATCTTCACTTTGAACAAATGAAGCTTTTAAACTCCCAGGGGGAGACCAGGCAGCCATTTTTCTGGTTGGCCTCCAATCTGGAGCTTGACCTCCTGTGTCCCTGAAACAACACCAGCGACCCTTGCTCGGAGTCTGAGAGGTCATGAGGGCAATCCTAGGACCTGGAAACAGTTCTGGGCCTTGTAACAGCCTGAGAAGGCCTTGGACTACAGAATGTCTGCCCCAACAAGATGTGAGGCCAGGTGGGGACTGAAGCATGGGTTCCCACCTTCCTGTGCAGCCCCAAACCCTATCACACACACTTGGGTAATCTTGCTGGCATTGTCCCTGCTCCTTGCCAACCCCCCCAGCACTCAGAATCACAGAGAAGCCAGGACAGTGGACAGGAGTAGAACTGAATTCAAGTGGAGAAGACCTTGTGTTCAAATCCATGCCCAAGCCTACTAAGGTGTACAACCACACATTATTCATTATCCTCTGCCATCAACTGATCACTACCGTATTCCAGTAATTCCAGGTGCATTCTGAATATCTTGCTTTTCTTAATCAAGATGTTAAGCGGCTTCACCTTGACAACACACATCATAACTGCTAATGCAGCTTTGTTGGCCCCAAAGTCTGGATTCTTCCCATTATTCTGGACCATCTCTATAAATATAGAGAGACATCTTATTCCCAGGGAGATTCAGAGTTACATGGGAAGATATTTACGACCAAGTACTCCACTACACAAATGTTTATTTGTCAACTCAATAAGTATTTATGCAAAACCTATGAGAGGTACATTTCCTGCCCTCGAAGGTGGCAAATCCAGTGTGGAGTAAGACACTGGAACAAATTATCCCCATTCTCCGCTAAGTAGCTCTGACCCTCCACACTCTCTTGGTTATTTCTGAGGATCCTCAGAAGTCTGTCATGTCACATGTCCCATGACTGATCATATAGAGTTATCATTTGCCTCCTCTTCCATCCTTTATTTGCATGTTTCACTATTTCCAGGCACCCTCAAATCCAGGTACAGCCACCCTTGCCATATGTCACCTCTAGCACCTCAGCAATGACCAGTGCTCTAGAGTCCTGAAGTCACCAGCTATAGCTTCTGGCATCCAGGAAATGGAGTTGCATGTAGTCAGTGGGTAAAGAAAGTTCCTCTGTCCTTCCCTCTCCTTCTGCGGGCAGCTCTGTCACCTGGTGCCAAAGCAAGGTTGTTCTTGCATCTAAAGTGAACAAGGCCTTCTTTGAAAAATCTCTTGGGTCATATATGTGTCCACAGAGCACCAAGCTGAGGGCATATCTGAGTGACAACAGCATGAAGACAGAGGTTTTCTTTCTGAGACTCCCACCTGATTCCCTCTTCCCAGAAAGCTCTTCAATCCCTCAAGAAATAATCTCCCCAACCCCGCTATTCTCCAGACGCACATTGACACAGCTAAGTGGCCATGGTAAGCCAACTCCCAACACATACAGACCCATTCACACTCGAGGGCTGCCCCCACCCCATCCTAAATCATCCTGCCTGGCCAACCCTCCATGGCCAAGGTCTAGAAGTTTTAAAACATCATTTGCTGGGGCTGGGGATTTAGCTCAGCGGCAAAAGCGCCTGCCTGGCAAGCGCAAGGTCGTGAGTTCGGTTCCCGGTACTGGAGAAAAACCAAAAAAAAAAAAAAAAAAACATCATTTGCACAAGAAGGTGATAGAAAGGAATGTGCCTCCCCTGTACCTTCTCTTGTCCCATCTCAGGAGGTGCCTTGAAATGTCAAAGGATAAAAATAATTAATTGACAACTATGTAATAGGACATAAAAACCTGGCAACCTAAGAACAATATGGGATGCATGTGCCAGAGCTCTGTGCTGTAATGGACTAAAAGGTATCTATTTTCTCCACAAAGTAGACACTGCAAACCAGGGAAAGTGTAAGGATCAGTCACAGCCTGGAGGGACCACACTGACAGTGCCCTCTATGACCAGTTCTACCACACTGAGCCCACAAATCTCAAGCCTTCTTGCTCATTCCCTAGATGACCTATCCAGGTAATAAAACTCCCCACTTCTGTGGCCCATTCCCTTGGGACTCTGATCTCTGCCAAGCAAAGCTTTATTGTTGTTGGAAATCCCTGACTAATCTGACAAATTAATCTCTGATAAAAGATTAATGCAAGGATAGCAAATGGATTTCATTTCTGCTGCCAGCTGTGATTGATTTGTGGGGGCTACCTACAGTGCTCATTTGAGAAGGACTGTGGCCAGAGCTTAGCTCAGCAAGCAAGAGTGCTAGGATTGATTTGCAGTGTCTGAGCCCTGAGCCCTCCAGGGACAATGGCATTGTGGGTGCTGCTTTGGGGCCATTTTAGGATAAGTAGCTGCCCTGGGATAACCTCTCCCCTGCCCTAGGTACCAATTTGTGTTTGACATGGCCCTTGAGGGGAAGGAAGTCTTATTCCGGTCAGCAAAGGACCTTGACCCCTTGAGGATACATGTAAAGCAGGTGGACCTAACAGTCCCCTTGATGCCTGGAAACTAATATACAGATGTAGAAGTGAATGTTTAGAATGTTACCAACCAAAGGGAGACGCCAAGGGGAGAATTAAGCAGGCTAGGATGAGGGTGAGGCAGAATAGGCTAGGGCCAGCCCTCAAAAGAAGTCATTCTCAGAGTCCCACAGTTGCCTCTTCACCCTGTCCCAGCCCTGGAACTAATAGTCCACTGCCAACACTCCCTTTCCCCTCTTAGACTTTCACAGCTGGAGGGCCTCCAGGCACAAACTTGGTGCTCTGTAGAAGGGGAAGCTATGTAGGTCAAATGGCTTTCCCTAAGTAATAAAACAATTTCACTGAAGATCTGAGATGATAGTTTGATTTCAGGCCTATAGATCTACAAAGAACCTTAGATATCAAATAGGACTATATATCCCCCCTGCAAAGCTAGTCAACTTGCTTAGGGCCTCTCTCTACATCATCAAGCTTCTATGATGTGACAAAAGGAGATGGATTGGAAAAGTTAGAGAGATTCCAGTCAAGGCGCTAAAATTTCCACCCTTAGTTCTCTTCTTTCTACCCTTACCCCCTACCCTCTTCCCTGCACCACTATACCCTGAAGTCCAAGATTCCCATCTGTGAAATACAGGGGTAAGTGCTGATGCCTTCTGGTTTAAAATATTCTTAGTTTGTAACCAATTATTTGGATTTTTAACGAAAGAAGTTACTTAGTACACAGTAAATTACATAAAGACCCGAATCAGAAGACTTCATCTCAGTCAAAATTATAATCAAAGAACCAAAGAAATTCATACTTCTCCCCACTTGGATCCTGAGCATGTCCCACCAAAACCCTCCAGGGCAGCGACAGTCACCCAAGTGTGTGTAGCATGAGCTACCATTGCATTCAGGCCAAGGTATAAGTGAGACACTTTGGATTCCTGGAATAAAGATCAGAGTTCTGTGGATACTCATAAAGTAAAGAGAGAAGATCAACTTGGAACATAGCCCAGGCTATACTGAGGCCCTGCTAGTTAGAGTAAGAGTTGATCCAGAGTGTTAGAGGAAGCTCAACCTGTGGTATATTGACAACTGGTGGTCAACTTGTAACACCCAGCTGAACTTAATAAGGGTGGTGCTGGGTGGGGGAGATCCACCTGAGGATTGTTGCCAGCATCATAAAAATGAGAACTGGAGAGGGAGAAAATAATATTGTTAGAAAGCAGTTGGTTCTCTTGGAGGACCTTGTCACTCTGGCTTTCCCGATAAGAACTTGGCTGTTCTCATCATCAAAAGAGCTCGGGTCCTTTTTGTCACTGAGAATGGCTGCAGTTCACTTTGGGGGAGCTCTGGTCCTTACTTTGAGCAATGCTTCCTGGCTCCAGAGGGTAAGATATTGCACTGTGCAATGCCTAGCAAAGCTTGTCGCACTGGCTTTCCTGATACAAACTCGGTTGTTCTCATTGTCAGAGAAGCTTGGGACCTCACTGTTGCTGAAGGTGGCCGTGGTACTTTTCAGGGGAGCTCTGGTTCTTACTTTGAAGTAGCTTTCTGCCTCCAGTGAAGATCCCTCAGCCTGTGGGCACAGATCCTTCATCCTGCTGGCACAGACTTTCTAGCTTCCACCACTGACATTTTGGGCCTTCCCAGTACAGAGCTGTGAGACAGAATTGCATGGGGCATTGCTGTGGGCCTTTGGCCTCCAGTTGGAATTGTTGGGGGGTGGGTATTGTGATGGACTCCAAGTCTTTAGCTGAATTTGTGCAAGACATTGCCATGGCATCCAGGCCCTCAGTTGGATTCTTTTGGTCTTTAGTGTATGGACAGATTTCCTGCACTCTTTTTGTATATGACTCTTTGGGTACCCATTATAAAATAATTTTTTAAATCATGTGTCCTGTATTGTCCCCCCACAAACCGTAACTACAACACAACCTCTTGCAAGTTATCATTTGCTTGTTTGCTTGTTTGTGTGTGTGCTTTTTCAGGGCTGCAGGTTGGCTTCCTGAAGCATTCCATCTAAGACACTCTGAAAAGGAAGACAAATCTTAGTGATGCTGTATGGAGCTATGATTTTTGGAAACTGGGTACAAGACCTAGGATGTTAGAGGAGAAATAACTGATTCTGCTCTGCTCCTGTAGTGTTGGCAGACTCTGAGCTCTCTCCCTCCAAAAATTGCTCAGAAACCCCCGCCAGGCCCTACCTCTCCAGCAGGCCATGGCCCTTCCATTCTGGGATCCACACGCTATTTGCAGATGCTTCTGGCCCTTCAACAAGTCCCAACTTGCCCAGTTAGTCCAAATAAAGCACTTGGGGGCCAGGAAGTCAGGGTGGCTTACAGAAGAGGGGCACTTCCCAGAATCTGGAAGAAAACTCTCTCTGTAAATAGGCATGGTCTGGCCCTGGCTCTGAAAGAAAGACTGCTAGTAACATTGCCCTATAATAGAGCTGGAGTTGGAACCATTCCTAATCCCAATTACTTCTGTATTCCCAGAAGTTGTACTTTTAAGTTGGCTTTATATCATCCCCTCTCTTTTTCCTTCTTTATGTAACTGTTTCTGTTTCCCATTTTTGCTTCTGTCTCTCTTTCTACTTTCATTCTCTCTCTACAAATGTATATGTCACCTGGGTGTCAAGGTGTAGCACTGGGTGCTAGGAGCAAAGACATGAATGAGAAACTCCCCCCCACACACAGGCAGGAAATCAGTCTCATAAACTTGCATACACAAAAGTACAAGGCAGTAGGAAAGCTCAGGAGATGGGACACCAAGCCTGCCACACAGAACATGTCATGTGAGCTGAAATTTGAAGGATAAATAGATGTTGGTTAGGTGGAAATCAGGGAAGGATATTTCAGACTAAATACTCTAGGAGGCAAATCACCCAAGCCTGAAAGAATATGCTGTGTCTGGGGAGATTTGGGAAGTGGGTTGTTCCGAGGCCCTTATAGGGTACATAAAAGTGATGAAGCTGATAGGTAAGTAAAGTTCATGAAGAAAAACGTGTGCTAAAATAGGCTTGATCCAGAAGACACTGCAAAAGTGCAGTTTGAGTTGAACAGCCTAGCTGAATTTACCCAAGAGAGATGTATATATCCAAGAAGGTTGTGGCAGGCTAGTGGTCCTGTTGCAAAAGCTAAAAATAAAAGGCTACCTTGGGAGTAAATTACATTTTTAAAAGATAGAGCTGTGGAAGGAGTAATATCTACATTTACAAAAATTCCAGAGAAGGAAGGACATTACCTAAGTTAGTCAATGAAGTTTGGCTCTTTTCTCCCTTGGGAATTTGCCATGTCAGGACTCAGGCTGGTGGTTACTGTCTCCACAGATTAGAAACTAGGGGAGCACTGAAGAGAAATCTGGCCTTTCCCTGGGGTTGTCTGGGAGGCTGAGCACCAGGACAGAACAAATGAAATCTCCATCACAGGGAAGAGACCTATGGCATACGTACACCAGCAGGTCTTAGGCTACTTGTTAGACTCTGAACCACGCCCAGGAAGAGGATAAAGATCTAAAATATCAGTGGTAGTAATAACCGGATTAACTTGGATAACTAAAAAGTGTCTTTCCCAGAATCCTCTTCCCTATTTAGTACCACCCTATTAGGAAGATCGCAAGATAAATTCAAATGCAATTTAGAAAGTGGATCTATAGTAACTTCGGGCCTTCCACCAGACACTAGTGAAGTAGCCTTTTGTAGATTTCCACTCCAGCTCCTTCAACTTCATTAGACCTAATCCCTATAATGAATTCTTTATTCCAGATAATTCTTAGTGGTTCTGCTTCTCTGATCAGATCCTAGCTGATACACCAGATGTCAGCAAGCTTTTTATGTAAATATTTTGCCAAGAGGCAAAACTAAGACTATTACATAGGTATTTAAATAACAAAAAAAGTAAACAAATTTCCACAAATGCTTTTACTAAATTCAAAATATAATTAAAATAGAATACAATTTTTTGATAATACAGATCTACTTATGAGAAAAACAGAATTGAGAGGCCAGGATAACATTTTGTTTAATAGAAATTCAAGGTTTTTATTTCCTGCTATCAAATAGATAATAAACATTCATCAGAAAGAAAGAAAGAAAGAAAGAAAGAAAGAAAGAAAGAAAGAAAGAAAGAAAAGAAGCATTCTTAGTTGTGAGTCTTACAAAAATGGTCAGTGGACCCATAATACTCACAGGAGTCTGCGGCTCACATGATATACCCTCTAAAAAAGTGGGAGAACTGTCAGGCCTGAGGACATAAAGAGCCATCAGGCTCTTAGTCAAAACCCTAGGAAGATTTTGCCCAAGGTGAAAGAACAAACTAAAGACAGTCGAGTCTTACCAAACTGCCACCCATCCCCCTCCCAGACCACTCTCTGGTTGGATTGAGCTAATAGTCTTTTTATCCTATCTACTGAACAAAAGAAGGAATTCTTGCTGATGGAAGATATTTCCTGAAGCCCTATATTTCTGTTTATTCACAATGACCAATATGTAATTTAAAAATTACTGAATATGCAGAATCAGGAAATTGTGAGTGACAATAAAGAAATAGAAATAATTTGGAAGAATTCAAAACAGCTATGGTCAAAATAGTAAAGAAAGAGGACACAGCTGAAGAGAGGACTAGAAAATCCATAGAAAGTATCCAAAAGAAAGCATACAGGAATTTACCAGAAAGATCATTCTGACTGCAGAGTACAAAATGGATTGCAGGAGATGAAAGCTAAAGTCAGAATCTCTTGACATATTGGAAGGATGACTTCTTCAAGCCATCTAAGAGCAGTTAGGAGAGGCACAAACAGCACCCAAAGCATATTCTCCTTCTAGCTAAGGAAAGGACCGTACTGCACTTTCTTTTCCCCTCACAGATTTACTCAACTGAAAGTACATGAAGTCAGAAGTCACTGGGAAAACCATCCCCATCATAGACTCACACAAGGGCTCTTCATTTCCCTCCAACATCAGTGTTTCTAGCTTGAAGGAAAAGAGGAGGAAGAAATACTAAGATTCCCCAAACTGGCTCTTCTTTGGGCAGGGAGGGAGAGACTCCAGGTTCCAGCTCCACCTGTTGAAGGTCTCGTCTATGACATGCAATGCATGCTGCTTTGACTTCCACCTGGACACAGGCAGTTGAACACACATATTTCTCCAAACCCGAATAAAATGCCAAAGAAAGAGAGAAGCAGAATTACCCTATAGAGACAAAAATAATTACCCAATAGAGACAGCAGAAGATAGAGCAAAATGCAACCTAGAAAGCAAATGGACAAGGGACAGGCACGTTGGCAAAACTTCCAAAACAGACACTGCTCCTCTGAGTGGAGGGAGGCCAGGAAGGAAGCTGACTTCTGCTGTGAAACCTGGCCCATGAGGATGGGAGTCTCTGAAGGCTGGGGGTACGGGGAGGCTGAAGCAGGAGAGAGGTTGAAGATCACCATAGAGACAGGGAAACTCCCGTGCCCCTCTCATCCACAATGCCAGTAACGGCACATGGGGTAATGGTTTGCTCTGCCGGGTGGTATCACTGTGTTGGAAAGCTGTTCATGGGCGCTGCCTGTGTGATAGAGAGATGATTGCAAAATAGATCTGATCTCATGGGTGGTGTCTTACTTTCCCATTGCTGAGACACATACCTAACTACCAAAACTTAAAGGAGGAGGGGTTTATTTTGTCATGGTTTTTAGTCCAGTCTGCTGGTTCCAAAGTAGGAAGAGCATGACAGAAGGTCCTGGGTAGGGCAAAGCTTCTCATACCATGGTAACCGGAGAGAGAAGAGAGGAGCCAGTGAGGGAGACATTCTCTCCCAGGTCACAGCTCCCGTGACCATGTGGAGCCAGACCTCACCCCCTAACAGCACAATCAACTCTGAACTCCTGAGGGGATTAATCCCCTCTTGGTCCAGCCACCTTCTAACAGTCCTACCTCTGAACACATGAGATTTTAGGGGGACATTCTGGATCTCAATAGTGGCAGCTGGAATCCAATAGACAGTGACTAAAGACCTAAGATTGAAATATTAGCAGTATACAAATGGTGGAAACTGCCAGGACTGCTGAACACGTTACCCTCTGGATGTGTGAATTGCAGCTGAAGAGAGATGGGAAGGAAGCCTACTGTTTTTCCTGATAAGCCTTTTGGGATTATTTGTCTTGTTAAACTATGCCTATGTATTACTTTTACAGAAGTAAAAATTGAATTTCTGGCTGCTGTGTGGAGAATTGGTTGGGGGAGGGAAAGAATGGTGCCAGGAAAACCCATTAAGTGGTCTCAGGAAGAGACGGAGGTAGGAATGGTAGTGGTGAGAAGTGGATGCATTTCCAGTTTGGAGGACAGAGTCAACATGACTTCTTCAAAGACTGAATATAGGCAGTGAAACAAGGAAAAGAATCAAATATAATTTCTAGGCATTTGGCTGAAACAATTTGGTATAGGCAGGAAGGTAGGATAAGGCAAGCAAGCTACCAGGGGTGTGAAACATAAGGATGCTGGGCCAAGGATATAGCTCAGTGGCATGGCAGTTGTCTGGCAAGCGTGACGTCCTGAGTTTGATTCCTGGTTCCTCCCCAAAAATAGATAGATGATAGATAGATAGATAGATAGATAGATAGATAGATAGATAGATGATAGGTAGGTAGATAGATAGATAGATGATAGACAGATGATAGATAGGTAGATAGATGATTGATTGATAGATAGATAGATAGATAGATAGATAGATAGATGATAGATAGAAAGATAGGTAATAGATAGATAGATAGATAGATAGATAGATAGCTGCTGTTGCTTTTGGCATCCTGCCGGGGTAGGGTGAGCACTGAAGGTGGGGGCTTCTATCCATCCTTGACTTTGTGGTTTCCAGTACCATTTGTTGAGATGGCAAAAATTAATGACAAAAGCACAAGGGTCACAGAGGGGATTGACAGCTTATGACCAAGTCATTTATTAGTGATCCACATGAAGTCATCAGCATTAGAGACCACCAGTTTGGGAGAGGGTCAAGGCTAGAGATAGACATTCGGATCCCTCAAGCATAGAGATGACACTTACAGTATTGGGTAAGATTGGATAACATGGAGAGAATAATTAGGAAGATACAGGAGCGGCCAACTCAGAGGCATTCCAGCATCCAACAAAGAAGATAAGGAGGAAAACCCAGCAAAATAAAGAAGAAACCAGAAAAGACTGCTCATCCAGAAGCCAAGACAAAAACTTTTGATTTGGGGACACCGGGCTGGGGATAACTCAGCAGCACAAGCACCTGCCTAGCAAGCACAAGGTCCAGAGTTCGGTTCCCAGTACCAATAAATAAATAAATAAATACAATGATTTGGGGACACTATCCTGAGCCCTTCATCTTCTCTGCTTATTAAAGTACTCATGAGGAGCAGCCGAATGATCTGGGGCTCTGTCCTGCCCAAGCCTCGCCCTTGTGTCCACCTGGAACTTGGATAACCTACCCACTTCTCCAC